GACATGGGCACTGCTTCAGCCTCCCAAGCCCTCCTCCTTCCACCGCTCAGCACAACCAAAGGACCGGGAAAAGAAAAAGGAAAAGGTATCTGGGTGTGAAGGACGGGGCGTTCGAGCAGGAAGCAGCCTCGGTAGGGGCTTTGGGCAGGGATGCGATGGCCAGCAGGTGTGGGCATGGGTAGGGAGGGCAGGGAGCTGCCAGGGACCTGCTCTGCGGGCACTGCCAGGGGCGCGCAGGGATGGAAATGGGAAACCGCGGTGCAGCAACAGCACCGAGCCATCCGAGGCTGCTCCTCCGACTAACAGCCCCGTGGAGGCACAGCGATTCAGGCTCAGGCTAAAATCAACTTCTCCCATCAAATATTGAGCAGCCCGAATGTGCTCCCGAGGCTGGCCCAGGGCTGCGAGCCGGGCGGGCAGGATCCCGCATCCCCCGTGCCTAATGCGAGCTAACAGCAGCGCCAATGACTTATTTAAGAGCAGATCAAGAAACACCCCAGCTCTCTTCGGAGACTTCAAAAGCAGCTGAACACCAGCGGTACCGCCCGATAAAGACACAGCTTTGCTGCACCGTCTGCCTCGGGGGATCTTCCCTCGCCGGCAGCGGGGAGGGAGAGAGCCCCGCCGAGGTGGGGACAGCCCCGCCGAGGGGGGGGACAGCCCCGCCGAGGGGGGGGACAGCCCCGCCGAGGAGGGGGACAGCCCCGCCACCACCCCGCCCAGCACTGCTGAGGGACCCAGGGTGACCCTTGCCCTGCCAGGGGCAGCATCCTGCTCGTGGCTGTCCAGGCAGCCCCCGTCACCTTCAAGGAGGTGGATGAATTTACTATAGCTGCAAGAAGGAATTAAAAACTAAAAACAAAAACAACAAAATATATATACATATTAAAATAGGAAAACATTCTTTTTTTATGCCTGGGAGACCCTCTCAGAATGGCTGTGAGTGTCAGTGCTGGCCAGCTTCCCTCTGCCAGCAGCCAGGGATGAGGCACTGCAGGATGCAGAGCCGTGCTGGGGTTTGGGGACTGGGACTAACGATGGAGGAGGGATGGTGGAGAGCCAGAGCTCACTAGCTGAGCAAAGCTCCTGCCTCACCCAGCCACTCTGTGCTGTGCTTCACACACCACAGAGGTGGAGAGTGAACCACAGGAAGGCAAATGGCAGCAGGCTGGAGGCTTCCCCCTGGAATTCAGAGCTGGAGACTCGATCCCTTTTCTCAGTCCCAAGCAAAGGGCTGGAGCAGGAAGAACCAGAGTTCTCTAATGGAGACCTTGGGACTCGCTGGCTGAGCAAGGAAAGAATGTCCTCCATCAATAGATGACACGTCCCATTGGGAAGCAGGGAACCTGAGTTCCATGGCCAAGGTCTCTACCCCAGGCTGAGGTTGATCGGAGATTTGTTATTGATTCACTGTGGCCAGAATTTCATCCTGTGATTTAAACCTAACTCCTCCAAAGAGAATAAGATCAATGTTACAGAGAATCAAATACGTAAAGAACAGCCTTTGAGCTGGTGTGCAGCGGACACAGAGAGGGGAGTTTAGAAAAAAAGGTTCTTTCCTTATCAGGAGAGATAGGAATGAAAGGAAAAAAAGAACCTGGAGAATGTTGTTTGCTCATTTTCCCTTTCTCAGTCAAAACAACCCTGTTGCTGCCTGCTCTCCTCATGGGCACAGAGGGAGAGGAGCAGGGATTCTGATTCTGACATTCATGATTCTCACACCCACCAAGGCTGGCACAGGTGAGGGGCACAGGCAGTCCCTGCCCCTGTTACCTCCACGCTTGGGGATATGAGCTGCCACCAGCCAGCCTCCATTCCTCCTGCCTGGGAAGCTGAAAACGCTCACACTAAGCTTCTCTCTTGGAGGTTTTATTATCATAATTCCTTTTTATTTTTGCCTTGGAAGACAATTTATCACCCTCAGGCAGCGTAGATTGGCCTCTGCCAAGGCTGATGATCTGCTTCTGTGCCATTTTCCCCAAAGCACAGAGCACTTGGAGCTTCTTGTGTCCTAAAGCTTTGCAAGGATCAGCCTGGTGTTTGACCCTCTGCTGCCATCCCAGCCACCTTCCCTTGCCCTGGCCAGGAGCACCTGCCAGCACCACCACGGCAGAGGCTTCTGCAGGCAGCCACCCCCTGCCCATTATTTAACTGCAACCCAGAGACAATTTTTCTTGGGAAAAGCTTTTAAGCTTGATCAGTGATGGGGTTAATATTGTTTGCCCTGTGTCTCAATTTTTTATCTGTATTAATGGAAACTGCCAGGGCTGGGTTTTCCACAGCAGCACCACAGTGCTGCTTTCTTGGGCTGTTTTATTTTCCAGGCTGGGCTGCAGTGACTGATCACTCTGCAGCACAGCACATCGCAGCCATGTCCCCACAGAAGCTGCCCAGACACCCCTGCCAGCAGCGTGGTGGCTGCCCCAAAGGCCAGGGTTTGTCCCCAAAGAGCCATCCCTGCTGCAGGGCCGCGTGTGGCAGCAGAGGTGAGCTCTGCAATTGTGCACCTGCTGTGTTTGTTCTGCCACGGCTCTTTGGGGACGCTCGCTTACATCACGCTCAGAAGGAAAGGACAACCACACAAAACAAAAAACAGCTGCAAGTTAAACAAGGGGAAGCCCGCTGGGGCTGTTGGATGCTGGTTCCTGCTCAAGGCAAGCAGGCAGCTGGTCCAGCACCAGACACGGGAGCACAACCTGGATCCAGACAACACAAAAGCAGAACAGGGACCATCACTTGCCCCTCTGGGCCCACGACAAGCCCTGAGCAGAGCCCTGCTTCAAACAGAGATATGTTATATATGTTTTTGCTTTATGCTTTCATGCCTTTGATTCCTCCAATTTATTTATTCTTGTCTTTGTGGGCTTAACAGTCAGAGTGTACAATAAGTCATTGCTTCTTAATCCAATTTGGCTCTATATAGCTATTCCAGTTTAACATCAAATGTAATATAGAATAATGTCCAGAAGAAACAGGAACGAGATCCATGGCTCTGAAGCTTGCCTGCTTTCTTTGCTAATTTATCTCTCACTGGCTTCACAAGCTGGTCCTCACGCTGAGCCCCTCACTCCAGGGGCACAGCAGGGTGAGGGGTCTCTACCTCGGGGTGCCCTACAGGACCCCTAGAAGCTCTGTCCACGGGATGGATGCCGCCGGTCCCTAGAGCAGCTCCGGTATCAGCGGCGGCACAGAACAGAGCCACGCACAGCCCTGGCCACAGCCCCCGGTGCCAGGCGCTGCCAGGGCTCGCTGCACCCCGGCATCCTTCCCCCGCTCCCCGCACCGAGATCCAGCGCATCCCGGGGCCAGCGGCTCCAGGCGCTCAGCCCTGCCCGGACAGCGAGCCTCGGCACGGGGGACAGGGACAGCGGCCCGGGGACACGGCTGCAGCCTGCCACCGCCAATCCCCCAGCCAGCACAGCGACAGGAGGGAGGCGGCCAAATCAGGAGCAAACGCAGCACCCGCGGGTCCGGCAGGCTGCGGGTGGGATGCTGAGGAAAACCTGTCCGGGATGCCACGAGAACCTTCCGTCTTCTGGGGGATTCCAGCCCCAGCTCATCTCCCAGCCAGCCATGCCATCCCCGCGCTGGGGCTGTGCAATGCCCCCGCTCAGCCCAGGCACCCCCAGCCCGCTGCCGCTGCCCCAGGGCAGCTCACCTGGGCAGCTCCTCCAGGCGGCCAAATCAGGAGCAAACGCAGCACCCGCGGGTCCGGCAGGCTGCGGGTGGGATGCTGAGGAAAACCTGTCCGGGATGCCACGAGAACCTTCCGTCTGGGATGCCACGAGAAGAACCTTCCGTCTGGGGGATTCCAGCCCCAGCTCATCTCCCAGCCAGCCATGCCATCCCCGCGCTGGGGCTGTGCACTGCCCCCCGCTCAGCCCGGGCACCCCCAGCCCGCTGCCGCTGCCCCAGGGCAGCTCACCTGGGCAGTCCCCTCCTCCTGACCCGACAGGCTCAGCTCCTACCTGGCAGCCGAGCCCACGGCGCTGGCACAGCCCCGGCTCCGTGCTCGGCACAGGCAGGGTCCCAGGCTGGGGATGCTGCAGCAGCCCGGTCCCTCCTCGGGCACAGCGCTGCTCCTGCAGCACCGCTGCCGCCCAGCCCGGCTCAAACCACCTCCTCAAACAAAGAGCAGCCTCCCTCCCACAGTCTGGATTATCTCCTTTTACCCACCTGCCAAATGACTCACGAGTGAGGGTGCAAACACGCTGCAGGTGCTGGCACCGGGCTGGCTGTGAACAACTATCTGTGCTCTCCGTGCCAACACACACACCTGGCACAAGGCTGACCCCAGGCCGGTCTGATCCTGCTGGTTTGAAGGGATGGGGCCTCACCCAGGTGTGGTTACCCACAGCTGACCTCTGCTCCTGGGTGTCCCTGTCAGGCAGGATGATGCTCAGTGTGCAGCTCAAGCATCTTCCACACCAGGGAAAGGGCTTCCCAACCACTGCTCTTGTTCCAGCTCCACCTTGGTGTCACCCTGACTGAGCCGAGACCTTGTGGGAGCATTTAGCCTGGCAGCCACGAAGTGCTTGGATGCTCTGTGTGTAAATGAGGTCCATGAACCAGTTAATCCAGAGGCAGGGGATGCTCCTCATCATCTCCTCCAAAGCACCTTCCTGAAAAACGACAGAAAATAAAATGTTCTCTGCCATGCCTCAGTGGAGAAGTGTGTGTTGGAGGCGTTTCCTACCTGTGCTCACCCCTCTCACAGCCGTGTTTCCCTTGCAGGTGAAGGTGGCAGTGCAGATGACCAGCACTGTGCCCCGTTTCAGGGGGGCTCAGAGCCTGCCTGTCCCAGCTGATCACCACTGGGCATGGTGGTGACCCCTCCTCAGGACCAGGAAAGTTCTGCCTGAGGTTTGCAGCCTCTTGGGTGCCAAAGCTGACCAGCCATGGGACAGCGACAAGGCTGGGGTGGCACCCAGCCGTGCGCTGACTTCTGCGGGACCAGCACCTGGAGCCCACCAAAGCAAACCCTCTGAGGCATATTTAACCAAACACTTACTTTCCATTTTATTCAATAATTGCTTTAATACTAAAATGCATTAGATGCTCAAAGCAGAGAAAAGAAAATCACATTTAGGTGGAAAACAAAGTTCTCATCAGATGAAAAAATCCCAATGTGGCAGGTACACCATTTGGAAACAGAATCATAATAATTTAATAAAGCTGCTTTATCATCTTCATAAAATAGACAGAATGGTGATTCTTCTTTTTTTTTTTTCCTTTTTCCATTTTGTTGTTTACAATGATTCAATCACTGTGAAAATGTACATAACATACATATCAGCATATACAACGATTTATTCTTCATATACTCGGCAACGGAGACACCATGACGAGACGTACCGCGCTCGGTGCCGCGCCGCGGCTGCTGCTGGGGCCGGGCTCTGCGAGGGGTCTGGAGACCCTGCCCCAGCTCAGATCAGCTGGGTGAGCCGGGCTCTGCGAGGGGTCTGGAGACCCTGCCCCAGCTCAGATCAGCTGAGTGAGCCGGGCTCTGGGAGGGGTCTGGAGACCCTGCCCCAGCTCAGATCAGCTCAGCAGAGCCGGGTTCTGGTGGATCTACCCTAGCTCAGATCAGCTGAGCAGAGCCAGGCTCTGGGAGGGGTCTGGAGACCCTGCCCCAGCTCAGATCAGCTGAGTGATCCGGGCTCTGGGAGGGGTCTGGAGGATCTACCCCAGCTCAGATCAGCTCAGCAGAGCCAGCTTTTGAGGAGAGGAGGAGGTCTGGAGACCCCACCCCAGCTCAGATCAGCTGAGCAGAACCAGTTTTTGTGAGGAGGGGGTCTGCAGGCTCCAGCCCAGCTCAGATCAGCTGAGCAGAGCCAGTTTTTGTGAGGAGGGGGTCTGCAGGCTCCAGCCCAGCTCAGATCAGCTGAGCAGAACCAGTTTTTGTGAGGAGGGGGTCTGCAGGCTCCAGCCCAGCTCAGATCAGCTGAACATCAGCTGGCACCAGCGGAGCTCCTCTCAGCCTCGCAGGGCTGATCCCCGGCGGGTACCACAGCTCACAGGTTGGACCAGAGATCACCCAGAGCTGCAAGAGCAGCTGTAGCAACAAGACCATCAGTTTTCCCCAATGACAGACAAATGTGTTTCCATTCAAAATTAGATTTTTTTTTTTCTCTCCCTCCCCCCCACCCCCCCACCCCGAAGAATAATTTCAACATATTCATCAGACAGTGTGTTCTTCACAAAAGCAACTCGTTTCCTGTTTGGAAAAATAAAAATTAAAAAAAAGAAAGGAATTCACTTTTGCACAAAGTGTGATCCACAGGCCACCTCCAGCTCACGACAAACAGGGAACAGCAACAACCTCAGCAGACAGTGCTTGGGGGGGATTTTTCCAGCCATCAGTTGTGCCCCCCAGCCCTCCACCACCCCTCCCAGCACAGCCCTGCAGCCTCGAGGGTGGGAAAGGCCAGGGGCTCCCGAGGGAGCAGGGCAGAGCTCAGCCCCTGGCCCCAGCCCCAGAGCTGCTCCAGATGGGGTCCTCGTCATGCTCGGGGGAGAATCGTCGGTGCTTGCTGCTCTCCTGCATCAACAGGAGCAGAGCAAGTTTGCCTGAAGGAAACCAACAGATCCCAGCGACTTTTCCTAAACCAAATCTGAGGACAGGTTTAAGTTATTAAAAAGCACAATAATTACATCTGGAACCCTTCCAAAAAGCCTTCCTGCCCGCCCAGCAGCTCAGAACATTTTTTGCATGGCCAGTTTCGATGCAAGTAGGAAAAAACCAAGAGACTGCAATTTGCCCAGGAGCCTGAACTCATCTCGAGTGACACAGAGGGACGGTGACAGGAGTACCAAAATGCTCTGGAGAGGGCCAAGGCAGCAAAGCCAGGGCAGCTCTCTGGGTCTCCCCTTGGCCCTGCACAGCAAGGCCACACCAGGGAAGGGCCCCTCGCTCACAGCCCCCACTGCAGCCCGGGTCAGCCCAGAAAACTGGTGTTTAAATGATTTTCTTGGAGGCATAAGGGTTTACTGACCTCTTTAATGCCCCCTTTTAATACAGAATTATTTCACATTCTTTCTCGGCTGTGCTTTTATTCAGAGTGGCAAGGAACGTTTCCTCTGGGTAAATTAGAGAAATGTTTCTATTTTTTCTTTTTTTTTACCCTCTCTTCCTTTTCAGTTAGCATCTATTTTTCATCCAAAACACAAGGCTGGTGGTGGCAGCTCCACGGGCAGGGGGCAATGCTTGGCAGGAATTAGCAGCCAGCACTTTTCCAGAGCTGGGGATGGTGCTGGGGCACCTGGGGGTCCCCAGGGGCCATGGGGAAGCTGGGTCTCCTCCTGGCAGGGGCGTGGGGTGATGCTGGGGCCACATGCAGGAGCCCTGTGAAGCCCAGAGCACCTGACAGACAGGGCAAGGCAGGGTCTGTCTCTCAGCAAACACACAGGAGAAGTTCTGCCCCCACCCCAAAAAACCCTCCCAGAGCTGACAAAACCAGGAAACATCAGAATAAACTCAGCTTAACAGTCACAGAACACCCAGTTACTGCAACAGCCCCGAGCCAGTCCCTCTCCTCCTTGCTTGTGTTATAATAAAACACACATTTGGGGAAAAAAACCAGAAATCAATGACAGCAGTAACAGTACACAGGCAGGAAACACAGCGGGAACAGAAACAACATATCCCTGAAGAATGGGCTCAGAATCCAGAAGAGGGGAGAAACCCCCAGTTTGCTTTCTGGAGGGATGCAGGACATCATGTTAACACATGGGATGGGAGCTCAATGAGGTAGTCATCACACCAGTGAGGGAAGCATCACAAATTCCATTAGACAACTGTTTTCTTGTTGATTCTTTCCCAATTCCTGGCTCTAGCAAGTGGCAGGGGGAACAGGCTGACTCTGGACCTGTCTCAGACCAGCTGTGGCTTCAGGCAAGATCAATCTGCCCTGAAGAAATAAATGGCTGGAGTTTAATTTTATTTTGAGGATAATAACAACTGGAACTTGTTTTCTTGCTATTTTTCATTTAAATAAATCAAGTAACAAATACTTTATCATGATATGTAGACCTAGAAAGTCTCTTTCTCTAGAAACCACTAATTTCAACTTGCTGGTACAGCAAACATTGGCAAGAGCTATATATTTTTCCTTCCATAATCGATTTTAAACTCTAGGAAACATTATTGAGGGTAGGAAAAATCCGTTCAGTGAAGGGTTAATAATAATAGCAAAAATAATAATAATAATAATAATAATTAACACTAACTGAAATCCTCCTACCTTACTCATACCTCACTGAGGAATCATCACTGCAAGAGAGCAGAGAGCTGTGGAATCCCTTCCCTCTCTCCCTTCTACAAAATGGCTATTAAAGTAGCTCAATTTTCAATTCAATTTTACATGAGTAGATTTGTACCCACAGAAAAAAGTCCTTAATTATGAGAAAAAATAAAGAATTGCTTTAATTTTTTCTCCATTAAGAAGGCACATTAATTGAATTAGTAGCGTTGTTACATATCACCTGTCTGCCCCTAAATTAACATCACTATTGCTCATTCCATACCTATTTATGATGCAGGGATAGAAAGAAATCAGAAGGGTCCAAAACCCAAGCCATGATGTCATACCCACATACACCCTCTTGGTGCAATCATGGCTAGGAAACGCTGACTGGGAAGTGTGTGTGTCTAATTGAGAAGGTAATTTAGATCTCTTAAAATAATTCCATCTCTTTGACTTGGAAATGACTGGAGGCGAGGGATAGCTAAATCTGGGAACTGGAAAAAAACCAAAATAACCAACTTGTGGAAAAAAAAAACCTTTCCATGCATTGCCTTGAAATTATGCAAAAGAAACGGGTAAGGGGAAAAGTTCAGCACAGTGCACCCGACAATTGCAATCCAGGCAGGATTTTCCCAAAAACGCCTTCCCATAATTCCCTGTCATTTTCCTGCAGGAGCCGGGGAGGCTGCAGGCAATGGTGGGGGCTGGAGAAGCGCTTGCTCCACCGAGGCTGCAAACTGCAGGTTCCCCAAAGTTTAAGTGAGATGATTGTGATTTATATTTTTTTTATTCCTTTTTTTTTAGCCTGAAAGCCTTTTGCCATCACTAGACATACAGTAATTTGCAATATCAAATACAATAATAGTACAGATAAGTATGTGACAGCAAAAGGATTCATAAATGCAGGGGTGTCCATAGCAAAACACCAACACCTTAGAAGACAAACAACCTCGTGCTGAGTGAATTTGAACTGAAACTCACCCGACTGTCACTTTGAACAGTCCCACACAAGAAACAGCCGCTACTTTGTCCAGACTACAAAACCGCCGGGGTGCTCACTAAAGATGTCCGAATAAGGAATTGGCCACTCAATTCTCTCCAGGAATGGAAATTTATCTTCGTTTTGAGATACAAAAATATATAAACTCCGAGGAGGGGGTACCGAGCGCTCCTGAGGACTGGGGGGGTCTGGCCTCTGCCCCCGCCACCCTCCCGGCCAAAGCGCAGGAGCGGCTCCTCCGCTCGGGCTGCACACCCCTGCCGCCCTCAGACACGTGGGATTGTCACACTAACGATAGCTTCGTTTATAAACAATACATTTAGGGAAAGCTTTTAAATACAGCAATCTGTGAACCATTGGTAAGCGATAAAAACAATCTGCGCTGGGAGTCGTGCGGTCCCTCATCCTCATCCTCATCCTCATCCTCATCCTCATCCTGGTCTCGCCGGGTGCTGCTCAGAGGACGATGTCCTTTAGTCTCCGTGCGCCGGGCGAGTCCTTTTCCCGGCGTTCCTGCAGGAGCGGGTTGCCCTCGTGCCCGCTGCTCTCGCTGTCCGCGCCTCGAGGCTCTGCCTCCGAGGGCCGGGAAGGGCCAGTGTTCCCAAAGGGCTCCCGGCTGCCGGCGCAGTGCCCGGCACCGTAGGGCTTGCCGGACAAGGGGCTCTTCAGGTGCAGGGGCGAGGTGACGGGGCTGACGGCCTCGCAGCCGTTGCCGGCCTCGCGGACGGCGCCGCTCACCTTGGGGCTGCAGGCGGCCGAGTCCACCGTTCTTTTGCCTTTGGGGTTGGCGGGCCGCTCCTCGGCCGGGGGCTCGCTGCCCTCCTTGCCGAAGGTGGCGAAGGTCCTTTTGGCGCCGCAGTCCGCGTAAGGCTCCGCGTCCACCGCCGTGGCCTCGATGGACAGGGCGATGACGTTCCTGCCGTGCTCGGGGGACTTGGCGCGGCTGGGCACGGCGCCGCGTGGCATCCAGCACCTGTCCGAGTGGCCCAGGATGCGGCACTCCTCCCGGCAGTGGAAGCCCTCGCTCTGCTCTGCGGGGAGAAAGCACAAGGCACGGTGAACGCGGAGCCCGGCCGGGCGTGCCCACAGCGAGCTGGGCGCTGCGCCTTGCCCCCTCCCAGGCACAGGGGATCCTACCCCAGACCTCAAACAGCCATCGGTTTCAAGGCCCTGCAGAGTGCAGTTTAATCTCCAATTGGTTGTGTGTCACCTGCCACCACCAGAACAGGAGCCCGGAGAAGGAGTGACGGCAGCAAATCCATCACAACAGGGCTGTCCATGTGTCAAGCCCTCAGAGCCACTGGTTCCTGGGTTTAGTGACCAGTGTTAAAAGCCACCATGTTTTAAGCTTGGTTTGACGTGACATTTAAGCTTGACTTTTTGCAAGGCGGGGAAAGGAACAGAGGAAGGAAAGAAAAGGGGGAGGAGGGAAGGTTCTCTGTGCTTCTGCTGTGTATGTGTGTTTTAACTTGTTGCTTAATCCCCACTGACCTCTCACACAACAGACAGAGGCTTTATAAATCTCCAAGATTGTCCACTCCACTGAAGATTAAATGTGTCATTCCCTGTGCTGGGGCTTTATTCATACAGGAGCAATAAAGATTCCTTCTCTGGACTTGGGGCCGTCGTCCCAACAGCACTTTACAGTGCTGAAATATGGACTGGTGGTTTAACCCTTCCCAAGGAGCCGGGTGCCCAGGGCCTGCATGCATTCCTGCACTGTCAGTCATTCCCAGAGGACTGCACAGCTTCACCTCCACATCACAGATGGACAAACCCAGGCTCGGGGAAGCAGCCAGGCTCAGCCAAGTGCGAAGCTGGAAATCAAATTCAGCAGTTTCACCATGCCCAGCCTTTGCTGAGCATCCGACCGTGGCTCCTGCCGAACACCGCAGGATCCTGGCTGCTTTTCAGGCTCGGCTTTTTCCCTCATTTGATAAGAGCTGCTAATTGCAGCTGCCCTCATAAAGCACAGCCTTTCCCCACGCCAAGACGCGGCTCCTTCCTCCCCTAACCCACACTCTGGGAGCAGCACTGCAGCTCCACTGCCGTCACCCCTGTGAGCCCAGGCTGGGCCGGGGCCGGGCTGAGGGATGGAAGGTGCAGCTCAGCCCGGGGCTCCTTCCCTTCCGCCTGCAAACCACCCATTCTGACGCTCTGTACATCTGTGTGCATAACCTCCGCTCCTCAGACACATTGGTATTTCCACCACATGCGAGCACTAGGGCGGCTGATAAAAATTCTCAGCACATAACACAATGCACCAAAATATGAGCAGCTTAACACTTACAGAGAATAAACGAGTAAAAGGCAGACCTTAAAAAAAAAAGAAGGAAAAAAAACACCAAGAAAGGGGTTTTTTAAAAAAAGAGAAGAAGGCAATTAATTGAAAAATATATGGGTAAAGCATCAGCTTTTTCTCTACATCAGAGCAGCAACCCAGTGATGTGGAGCACAGGGCTGGGTGGAGGGGAGGAGGTCTGGGTTTTGGCAGCTGCCTTTACAGCAGCTTGAGAGAAGCATGCCCTGAGCCCTACACACAGAACAACCAGCACTGAGCTCTAAAAGCCCATGATCTTATACTTTGATTCTGTTAATTTCAAGTACTTGAGCAAAATAGAAAGAAAAAAAAAGAAAAATTGCCCAGAAAATATTGCTGTCTCCCTATTTATCCACAGCTTAACTTCAAAAGGGTGCTACAGGCATACAAAGTTGTGTAGTCTGGCTGTGATAGCAGAGGACTTGGTGATGGCTGGAGGGGCTACAGAAATATCTTGGATTCTCATCCCGATGAGACACTGATTTATTGTGCTGTGTGACCTTGGGCGTGTTGCTGGAGCACACATCACTTCAGTCTCTCCACAAACATGAAAAGCTGGATCTGTGAGCGTGCTGGGCTGGCTGGTCAGCTGCTGGGAGCTGCTTCTCCTCACCTTCCCTGCCCAGCAGCACAGCTCAGCCCCGAATCCATGGGACTGCCACAGCCAAACCTCACTGCAGAGGGGGCACAGGCAGGTTTGTCTTGCCTTGACCCACTATTTCCAACTGGCACATTTTACAGCTAGAAACAATTGGAGGACTTATCTGATTACCACAAGTGGATATTCCTCAAAGCCTAGAAAGGCACCTGTGCTTTAAGAGCAGCTCAGCAAAGGGCACTGGCCTGGTGCCTCTCTGCCAGGGAGATGATCAGCTTTGGACATTACAATGCTTGTCTGGAACCTGCAGCTGAAATGCAGGGAGGAAAGGAGCTGAGAAGCAAATTGGACTGTTTCAATCTTTGTATGAGGAAGGGAATGCTAACAAGTCTCAAAGAGGCCAGGCTGGCAGGCAGAGGGGCATAAGTCACCATCATCCACAGACCTGAGACAACAGGTAGCTCCATGGCACATTCTGTCACTCTGCTTCTGTGCTCAGCACACATCTCAGCTTTGAGACCATGGCCTGCAGCCAGAACCATCCTGCTCTCGGGGACAACATGTGTCCAGGCTGCCCAGAGCAGCCCTGAGCTGGCAGCAGACACAAGGACCAGCACAGAGCCCCCAGCAGCAGCCTCTTCAACGTGGCAGAACGGGCATCTGCAGCTACCCACCCATCACTGTCTTAGCCCTCTAGCTGGTACAAAACACTATTTTTACACCTCAAGCAAGGCCTGCTGACACACAGAACACCATTCCTCTGCTGTCCCAGATCCAAAGGCATGCTCAGCAGGATCTGAGCTGCTCCCGTGGCTGACCCCAGGGCTGATCCCTGCATCCTGCTCCTGCTCCAGGCAGAGGCAGGCAGGGAGCTGCTGGGCACGCTCCTGGTGCTGCCCTTTGCAGCTCAGTCTGACTCACCCAGCCTTGATGGCACCCAGGACAGTCATTCACGTTCACATTCACATTACTGTACTGTTCTGTCTCGTTCTTCACCACTTTAACAATCAGAAATAGAACAACAGGAAATTCTTCTACAGCCCTAGACCTGCCCTAGTCAATACAACTGTTACAGTCTGCAGGGACAAAATGTTCTGGATGCACGGAGCATGGGACTGAGAACACCATGGCCCAGGGCATGACCTGGGTTGCACTTTTGAAGGAGCTGAGGACACTGCACACACTGAGGGGATAGCTCTGTTGTCAGCCAGGATGAGGGGACACCCGTGGTGGCACCAGCTGGCCCAGGGACACACTGAGCAGCTCACCTGAGGGCAAGTGCCCTACACAGGAGCTGCTGTACCACAGATGTGCATGTCCCACTGCAGCAATATCCGTGCTCCAGCCAGACTGCCCTCACCCAGCACACATCCAGAACCTTGTTTCAGAGCACCTTAGGGCAGGGTCACTTCTAAAACATTCCCCAGGTACAAAACATCCTGGCAGAAACCTTTTCATCAAAAGGTGAGCAGTCATCCTGAAATCAGACTTGGCAGGAAAAATGCCATTATTAAACATAAGCTCTTGCATAGCAACTATGAAATAACATAATATCCACAGCCACCTCTGGAATAAATATGTTCCTCAACAAGTAAAGCAAAATCCACGTTAAGCCCCAGATTTCAAATCAGAGCTCTACTTGCAACTCAGAAGACCAGCACAAAGGCAACTGCTGTGGTCTCAGCCAGGCAGCAGCTGCCAAGGACCAGCAGCTGCAGGAAGACCTGGTGGGAGAGACAAAAATCCCCCACCCAGCCAAGACCCTCAGCACTTCCCAATCCCACCGTGCAAGCTCTTGGCTGGAAGAACAGGGACACAGGATGGATGGATGGATGGATGGATGGATGATGGATGGATGGATGGATGGATGATGGATGCCCAAAAGGCAGAGCCCAGGAGGAGCTGGCAGAGGACACATGGTGGACACTGCAGCAAGAGCCCCCAGCTCCACACAGCACGGGCTCTTCCCTCATCACAGGGGATTAAGGAATGTCCACGGTGAACAAATCCTCCTGTCCAACACCCACACAACTGAGGCACAGCAGCACGGAGCCCGTTCAGCTCTCAGCAATTGAATTATCTCCAGTGGAATTGCAACGCTGGCCAAAGAGACAAAGTTAAATCGTAGCAAGGTGCAAGTGCCTGGGAATGCAATATTCCTGACAAATGGCCAGATGACATGCGCTGTTACACAATCTAAGGTGCAATTTGGGCGATGACAATGGCCCCTGGAGTTTCCATTTCCAAACAGGCGCTCGGTTCAATCCAATCCGTGTCAGAGCAGCTCTGCCAGGGTGAGTAAGCAGAGCTCACTTGTGCTGTTACAGGGCAGCGAGGAGAAATGAGGGGAGAGAAAGAGGCACTGAAGAATGCCAGGCTGCTGGGACATGCACGGGCAGGGCAGTGGCCCCAGCCCAAAGCCCCCAGCCCTGCGGCAGTGCCGGCCGTGGTGCCCGTGCCCGGGCAGTGCCAGTACCTGGGCTGTACCCACACCTGGGCTGCACCCACACCTGTGTGGTGCCCATTCCTGGGCAGTGCCCGTACCTGGGCGGTGCCACAGGTCCCCTCGTGCAGGAGCCCAGCTCTAGCTCCACATTCTGGTGTTTCAGCAACCGTGTGATTATACTGTAATCACGATGACACTGCTCCTGGGTACAGCAAACAGCACGATCATTAAAAAATTCATTTCAAAATCTTCCTGGAAGCTAATAAATTTTACAGCAGTTTCAATCCTTTCTCATTGCAACAAAGAAAAGCTTAGTTCCAGACAAATTAGAAGTAAATTGATTGCCTTAGGGGAATCTATTCAAATATCACTTTTCCATGTTAGAAATCTCTTCCTGAAACAAGACGAGGAGAACCAGGGAGAGCCAGCACGGGAGCAATGTGGAAAAGCAAATCATTAAATCTCAGTTCATGAAACTGAGGGGGTGGGGGGGGAGAATGAAACTTAAAATAAAATGCAAATGTCTCACTGTGGTGCGGGCCCAACATTTGTGACAGAATTTATGAATAATAAATATGAATAAATAGTAAACACGAAGGGATCAAACACTGTTGTGGCTGTTTACTCATGGTTAGCCATCTTTCATGGACAAAGCACAACTGCATTA